TGAATTTTATATCTAAAAGGCCCAGAATATAACATGGTCATCCCGTTAGCTGACTATTGAGACAGCAGAGCTCTGGTGTTGAGGGTCTGAGGTAGTTTCTGCTAAGGCCACAGCAATGAGCAAGGGCTTTCCTATTACACGGATCTGGTTTTTCATAGCACGTAACACAAAAGCCTTTAGTGAAGCAATAGCTCTGGGAATGGAAGAAGAGACAGTCCTCTCTACTTCTTCCAATCACTGACACAAATCAGACAGCATCATGTAATGGTAACGGACTCTTGAGATTGTTTGTGCTTAGTCATAGGTGAGTACATGCGTGCATGAGAACGCACACAATGGATATTCTTTCTCCCAAATATCCAACCGGCCATCATGCTGTCTGCAACATGGACCTTCCTACCGAAAGGTGGATCTGCCCTTATGAGTGTGTGTGGCACAAGATGAGCAGAGGCGGGAAGAACAGAGAGTGCTCCATCATAAATCCTCTTAGGACCAGCATGGAAAGGAAGTTCATGGAATTTGATCAAATGTCTTATTTAATAGACAGTTGCTTAGTAGATTACTTGTGGGTTACAAGACTTTTAAAAAGACAGATGACAATAAACTGTGTTGATGAAGACTATTTAAAACAATTCAGCTGTCTTAGATAATTCAGAGGAACTCTGAGACCCTCCACAGTCTCTGCATCCTCTGGAAACATCTATCAAACTGTAGAATACATACAAGCTAGTTAATACTGGCATCTTCTGAATTTTCATGGAAAGAAAATTGGATTGTTTAGTTTTTATTGCAGTCCAGTGCTTAGTTAGGTGGAATGGTCAGTGACATTTCAAATAGGTGTAAGTTGGTTGTGAAAAGTCAGAAACATTAGCTCTTTGTCTTTAACTAGAACATAATGCAAAGCTTGTACTGTCAGTTGGATAAATATCTACTTGTCTGTCTTTTTGGACAAATTCTTCTTATGGTGAAATTAGCATTCCTGTGTATTGGTAGTGTTGAATATCTGTCTCTAGGGCAGTTTATCAATGCCTATCAAATGTCTTCAAAATATTTATAAATTCAAGGAATTCTAACTTTTGAGAAATTTTCCTAAATAAGTGTGCACATGGTAAAACAGTGTCTTTTGCAGCATTGTTTATAAGACCATAAAATTGAAAAACAATCTTAAATGTCCAGCAGTAGCAAATTGGTTGAATTATAGTAGATCTATATAATTACCGTGTGTGTATATATCCATAAAATACTGTTTTTGTTGACATTATAGTGTTAATATGTTAAATAATAAATAAGGTAAATGTATTATTATATTATAAATACAATATAATAGTATTATATTATGAATTAAATATAATATTATTATATTATAAATTATGGAAAGACCATTATCCACTTTATAAAATGCAAATATCTATGAGTACACAGAGAAAGGTCCTACAGGATATGTCATATGTTCATCATAGTCATAGCTGGATGGTAGGTTTCAGCGGAGAAGACATTCTACTTTTTGCCTGTATATATGTTTTGTGTTGTCTGGCTTTTTAAAATGATTTGTTACTTTTAGGGGGAAAATGAAAATTTTCAATCTTTAAACAAAAAAGTAATAAACTTGTGATATAAAAACGAAGAATAAGGTGCTTTGAGAAATGCCTAAGAGCTCAGGAGGTGTAGTTTGCTTTGCATGCTCTGGGTTAGAGTTTCTCAGCAGAGAAATACACATCAAGTCACTGGCATGGACAGTTTCATTTATGAAGTGTTCAATCAACTGTTAATGCTCTTGAGGCGGCAACAAAGCAGGTCACAGTTAGCCCTTTTCTAATACTGTTCTTAAAAGATGTAGACAGTCTTTACATCTTTTTTTTTCTTGGTATTAACAAAAGAGCTTTACAAATTTGCCTCTGGAACTGTGTATCTTAGGAAAAGTCCTTTCGGGGCAGGGACTGTCAATAAACCTTAAGCTACAATAAGTAAGAAGAGACAAGGGGCAGGATCCAGTTGTTCAGTTCATTCTGCTGATGAGAAATCTAAGAGAAGGAAAGGTTAAGTATCACCTGGCTGAAGTGGCAAATCTAGTCCAGGTCAGAGGCAAAAGCTAGCAACACCTGGCCCCCAGGCTCACTGGGAATGTGGAAGGGGAAAAATAGAAAATCTCAGTTTTTCAAATGCACTGGCAAATGAGGTCTTAAAATCACATTGCCATAGGAGAAAGGAGTGTTGCTTTGACTTAAGGATGCCCCACATGGAGATTTTGTGTCTCTGATTGTCCTGAAAGAAAGGTCCCAACTAACAGCTGTGACCTCAAGAGCTGACCCAGAGAGATAAAAGAAGAAATTAAGACTTTCTGTTTGATTAGCTTGGGAAGCAGTAATAAGGACTTATTCCCTCTGCCATGGTGAAAGCTGTCTACTGATTAATAATCCAAAAGACTATTAAGCCAAAACTCTAAAGGTCGAAGCCAAATCACTGGGAAGAGCTTGTAACTGCAAACTGTGATGTGAGTTGAGTCATGTCATAATGTCACCTCAAACTCAGTCTAAACTTGAACTCATCTTTCCTCACAGTGTAGCTCCCTAAGTAAACTTTCCTACTAACAACCAAATACTGCAGTTTAGAAAACTTCTTAATAACATATCCATCATATCTTGCATTGTCAGACACAGGCAAGGAAATTTATCTCTTGAGTAATCAAGGGCCACACATTCTTGAGTGATAAATTCTGGAAATCAAGTTTCCCTTTCTTTTTTTCTTTTATAAAAATCTTTTTAATTAATTTATTTGGTTCAGGGTCTTGCTACGCAGCTCCAATTCATAATGATCTGCCTGTCTCAGCCTCCCCAACACTGGGATTACAGACATGTGCCACCATGCCCAGTTTGGGGTTCTGGGGCCAGCACAGCATGCAACACCAGGTATCAAACCTGGGTCCTTGCACTTGCCAGGAAGGTGCTTAGACTGCTGAGCTATCTCTCCAGCCCTGGACACCAACTTTTCTAAGTCCTGATCTAGTTATCCATTAACTCCTCCTCACTGCCTTTCTCTCCATATTTGTGGAAAATTACCAATCCATTTTATAGAATGACTAAATGATCCTTTCTTTGTATTGGCATTTGAGGACTGCACACAAGCAGATTTTAGTAATATGAAGTCAAATCTTCTGAAGTAACAAAGAGCAAACCAACCTCTAAATTTTTTTAATCTTGTGTTTTCTAACCTATGTAGGTGAAAACATTTGGAGCGTTTTTATTATTAAAGTCAAAAGTTGACATAAATGAAATAGAGTCCTAGAGCCAAGCCTAAGAATGCCCAGTTTACAAATTTAATGCGAGCAAGCCACAGTGGGTCATATGATAGGACTGGTTGTCAGTGTCAGTTGTATGGTTCTGATGTTTGGCTGTCTCAACTGAAAAGTTATTTGGCTTTATAGCGATGTAAAAATTATCCACATATTTTACACACCTTCCATACAACGATGTACCTTCTGTTACCAATCTGTGCTATACACTTTAAAGTTTACTAAGAGAGTAGATCTCATGTGAAGAATTTGCACTACAATTTTAGAAAGGATTATTAATATGAAACACACACATATCTGGGTTTCTATTTGCCCATCTGTAAGATTATAACAAAAACACTTCAACTTTGCAAGATGAACAGCGGGCCTCTTCAAGGCAACCTCACCCCCATCGTTTCATGCCCATGGTCCCTTCCAAGAGCCTGCCCTAGGCCAGCAGCTCTACCCAACACTCCTGGCATTCTGTATCTGGCCAGCAGCAGTTGAGCTAGCCATGCAGGCTGTTTCCTTTTGGCTTTGGGTATCTGTTGTTCTACAGCCCCAATTCTTCATTTGGAAATAAGTATTAGGGGAAACATTTCTAGCACAGTAATATGGATTGTATGTTTTCCCCAAATAGGCATTTGCTTCAGATGAAAGTATAAAAAACAAATAAAGAGTACTCAAGGGAACCCCTCTATGGCTCTTCTACCTACTTCAGCCCTTGGGATTCCAGCTAAATACACCTGCAGTGGCTGCTGTGCCCACTGTACGGGTGATGGGATATCAAAGGATGTTTTAGGGGAGACTGTGTGCATAGGGTGGGCTGCCCCCTCTTCACAAGGCACTGACTTTGCCAGTGACTTGCTTTGTTTGTTTGTTTTGAGGTCTTGTTTTTTTTGTGTTTGGTACCAGGAATTGAACTCAGGACCTTGTGCTCACCAGGCAGGCACCGTGCCACTGAGCTGGACCCAGGCCAAGCCACTGACTTTGAAGTGCCTAGTAATTGTCACTAACATCCCCTATCACCAGTGTGAAAAACAAAATCCAACCAAAGATATCCTGCTATTGATTTTAAGCCACTTGGGTTTACTAAGACCAAATTCTTGATTTGGTAGCATAACTTGATTTTTTTCTGGTCTTTGTGACGTCGCCCACACGATAGCTTACTATTTTAGGTTATTTTAAGTAATATGAATATTTTAGTAATATGAAGTCAGATTTTCTGAAGTAGCAAAGGACAAACCAACCTTTAAATTTTTTAATCTTGTATTTTATAACCTATGTAGGTGGCTAAGAAATATTTTTTAAGAAAATTTTTTAAGAAATATTTTTTCTTAAGTATTTTTAAGAAATGTTTTTATTATTGAAGTCTAATACTTCAGGGTTGTGCTTCCAAGTCTTGTATGTGATAATCAGCTTAGTAAAGAAATCTTAATGTGCTCACCCAGGGTCTCCCAGCACAGCCTCTTCTTGTGTACATTGTGTAGCTTCCGCTATTTGGTCCTTGTAAGTTACCCTCTGCAGTTATCGGATTCATACTTTTCAAATACTCAGGAGTTTGAGATCTAGTCAAGTGCGCCTCCAGACTTGGGCCATCCTGCTAGAACTGTGCGGTTCATTAATAGCCGAGTTCAGAAAAGAGAGAAGCCCCCCACCCACCCACCCCCAGAAGTCGGTGCAAACAGCTGGCTGTGGTTGGTGCTCAGGGTTTGTCTTTATGATGTTGCAGAATCGCCTATCAGAGAAACGATGATGATGAGGAAGAAGCAGCCCGGGAACGGCGCCGCCGAGCGCGGCAGGAAAGGCTGCGGCAGAAGCAAGAGGAGGAGTCCTTGGGCCAGGTGACCGAGCAACTGGAGGCCCACGCCCAGAACAGGTACTGTGCTCTGCAGAGCGGGCGGTCTCCCTGTCCCGTGGAATTTGGCAGTCAATGCTTCCTTTCCAACCCAACTTGCCCCTTTATCGATCTTACTGGTTCCTTTGTGACCACTTTGGGCAGTAGATCAGACTGGACGACTGAGCTGATGTGGACTTTAGGTACCACTATACCCTACCCAGAAACACAAACTAGAAATCTTGTCCCTCAGGGGGTGTAGCTCGGAATTGGGGAGCATTGCAAACGAGACCCAGGTATGATCTCTGGGCTTCATCTGAATCCCAACATCACCTTTCACTAAGTGGAAATAAAAACTGTACCTTCCTTCATCGAAGGCTATTAAGTAATTCTGAAATTGTGTGACAACACATGTACAAGGCACAGGTCCTTCCGCATGGCCCCCACTCAGTAAATGTCACTGTCGTCAGAGCCTGACAGAGGAGAACAAGATTTGGCGACTGTGTATTTTTAAGCTGAAAGATGAGGAACAGAAAAAAAAAAAGTTTTTTTTTACATGACATTCCGAGGCTTTTCCTGACTCTAGTTATTTGTGGGGAGTCAACAATAGCTTGAAAAGATAAAAAACTGGTCTATCATTTTCTCCTGTTAGTCTTGTTTCTACTTGGGTTTTCTTCTGCTTTCCTATTTTATACTTAGCTATTTCATGATGTTAATTGAATTCAAGATTCTTTTTTCACAAAAACATGTTTAGGTCTATGAATACATGGCTTATCTCTGACATACTAATTGGCTACAAAATGTCATATTCTCCTTGTGGCTGTACAGCTGTAATTAGCCCATAATATTTGATGATTGCTGCCATGATTTATAAAGCATTAAAGAAAAATTTAATGGAATCTGCTATCACCCTGGAATTCTGTGTAACTTTTTAAAAATTATTGCAATTCAATTGATCGCAGAGCCTCGTGTGTGTACTTTTCCCCTTAAATTCCAAAGTCTTTATCATTTTACGGACATTTAATCCTCAGACATCTATTCCATGGTGACAGAATCCTGCAGCAATGGCTAAAACCGAGAAGGCTTAAAAATCTAAGCTTTGCCTTGCTGTGTTCTGTTGTTTAATATGAAATGTGTTTTTCCAAAATTAAATGAACTTGAACATCAAAAGGGCCAAGTTCGGTATGAGCTATGAAATTCGATGGCATTTCTAAACATTGCAAGAAACACGCTTTCAATTCTGGTCTCAGCTCTGATATCGCATGGCTGGTTGTTTTCTGCCAAGAGAGACCAATACTCCTGGCCCAGGGAAGGTCCCGCATCCCACAAGAGAGAGGGGGATGATGGACATGGTACAGTTTGGGTTTTTAGAGATTTTCTTGCCTTTTATTTTAATCAGCATTAAATTTAACCTTTATTCACAGCAGAAAAAAACACAAGAAGCCCTTTGTTCATGAAAATCTTGTCAAGGAAGGTACATAGTAGACACATTAGTTAAGACAATGCTGCTGCTATGACAATAAGCCCTTCAATTTTATGAACTTGAAACAATAACTCCTAGGGGTTCAATGCAGGTATTTCTGTCTAGTAGGTGGAACCAGTTACCTATCTGCCTTCCTTGTGTGACTCTGGCAACCCTGTAGGAGGGTGGAGTCTTCTAATCTAGGCCACAGACAGAGACAGGGAGGACAGAGAGTGCTGCTGTGCTTCTTCGTTGCCTTGGTCTACTCACATTTCAACAGCCACTGTTTGTCCTGTAGTCCTGCAAGGAAGCAGAGAGGTAGGAAATGGAATCCTAATTGGCCCTCACCTACCTCCATGACTGTGGAAAGAGGAACATGAATTGTGAGAGAGACACTCTGATGTCTCTCTGTCTCTTGGGGTTGGTTCACTGGCATGGTCATAGAACCTGCACATGGAAATACGCATGTTCTTTCCACCTCAGATTGTACCATTCCAGATCAGGAACTGTGTACCACCTGGTGACCTGTCAGAATACTACAAAACCCTGCAGGCATTCCCTCTTTGCTTTGATTCAGTCCTTGTCTCAGTTTGAGGTCCCAAAGAAGCAGATAATAAAACAAAGATTTGGGCACACGAGGTTATTTATTGGTGTTTTAAAATAGTTTTACATTTTTATTAGCACATGTGTGCTGTACAGGTCATTTATTTGGAAAGTGAGCTCAGGAAACACTGGAGGGATGTAGGGCAGTGAGACAGGGAAGGAAAAGCAGCCAAATACAAGTGTTGACAAGCAAGGTACTTCAATGGGCATCTGGAACCTGCTGCCACTGGGAATACTACGAGCCTATGTGGAACATGTACCTCCCTGTTCTCCAGCTCAGAGGCAAAGGGACACCTTGATGCTCAATTTCAGTTTGAAGGATGCGCTAGGTGCCATGCATACCCAAAGCATGGCCAGCATGTTGAGAACCTGTGTGGGGTTCATTAAAACCCGGGTAGGTGAGTACAGAAATGGCCCCCAGAAGAGCATGTGGATAGAGATTCCTGGTGTCTGTGCTCTGCTCTTGGGCAGCCCTGGCTGTGACTGTCACTGGTGATGAACCAGCAAGCTGTGTTTGATGTCATTCTTTCTGTTGTACAGTGTCCCTGATGAGGAGGCCAAGCCAACCACCATGAACACTCAGGCAGAAGGTGATGAGGAAGCTGCATTACTGGAGCGTCTGGCTCGGAGAGAAGAAAGACGCCAAAAGCGCCTTCAGGAAGCCCTCGAGCGGCAGAAGGAGTTTGATCCCACAATGACAGACTCCAGTCTGTCACTGCCAAGCCAAAGAATGCAGAACAACCTAGAAGAAAATGAGACTGCCGAGAAGGAAGAGAAAAGGAAGAGTCATCGAGAAAGATACGAGATGGAAGAAACAGAAGTTGTCACCAAGTCCTACCAGAAAAATGACTGGCAGGATGCTGAAGACAAAAAGAAAGCAGAAAAAGAAAAGGAGGAAGAGGAAGATGAGAAGACAAAGCAAGGGAGCATTGGAGAAAACCAGGTAGAGGCGATGGTAGAAGAGAAAACAGCAGAGGCTCAAGAGGAAACGGTGGTAATGGTGTTGAATAATGGGCAGGCTAGTGCAGAAGAGTCTACACTAGAGGAAGAGAGGGACCAAGGCTCAGGCGAGGCTTCTCATAATGAAAAGATGGAAGAGGAAGAAAGAGAAAGAGCTGAGGCAGAGAGGCTAAGGTTGGAAACAGAAGAAAGAGAAAGAATTAAAGCTGAGCAAGAAAAAAAGATAGCAGAAGAGAGAGAAAGAATCGAAGCAGAAGAAAAAGCAGCTGTATTACAAAGGGAAAGGAAGGAGGCAGAGGAGAGGGAGAGGATCCAGGAGGAAGAGAGAAGGGCTGAGGAGGAGAGGAGGGCCGCAGAGGAGAGGAGAGCCGCGGAGGAGAGGAGGGCCGCGGAGGAGAGGAGGGCCGCGGAGGAGAGGAGGGCCGCGGAGGAGAGGA